AGGAGAGAAAGAGAGAGAGAAGGAGAGAGAGAGAAAGAATAAATCACCGCCAGCCCTCCAAGGTTAGATCAGATCTCTGTCTCTCTCCCTCCAGCGGCAATGGTGGCGCATCAGTGCTTGGCCGGCGGGGAGCCAGGCGAGGCACCTTGCTTGCTCTTTTTGGGCCATGAAAGAAGCGGGGGGTCAGGCGAGGCATGTCAGGGGGGGAAAGTAGGACACCCCTCAAAAAGACGGCCTAGCTGTTTTTGGGGGGGGGGGGGTCAAAGCCTTATTTTCTAAGAAACATGGCGGAAGGTAAGACCAACGGCAGGGGAGGGAAATCCACTCCCGGGGTGGCTTTGCTGAGGTCGGCGGGGAAGTCGGTCCCATATTCCAGAGCTGCGCTAGTCACCGGACTGGCCCTTTGGGATGACCCTAACCCTAAAATAAAATAAAAGTAAAACAGTGGATCCCATCCGTGGCTCATTGCAAACCCTCCCAGAGAAAGCCTAACCCAAAGTTTGCCCGGGGCGATATTTGACGAAAAAGTCCGGAATTCTGCCAGGTGCTGCCCTCACAGACCGGAACCGAAGGCCCGTTAGCCAAGTTGCAAAGCGTCAAACTCTGTGGACTGTGATAGGATCCTTGCCTGGGGAGGGGTGGGGGGGAGGGGGTGAGGAGGTGGAGGTTATTGGGAAGAGAGGAAGAGCCTTGGCGGGATTCCACTTTGATCTCTTCCTCCGCCTGGGTTCGAGTCGCCTCCTCACGACGCCTTCTTTGCCTTCTGTTCTTCAGGAATTGTTTGGCCAGCAACGATCCGTACTGCGGCTGGACGCCGGAAGGGTCCTGTATTTTTGTGGAACGCAACACCAGGTATTCTGAGGGTTTGGAGGGCCTTGGTATGGGCCACTCCTCCTCCTCCTCCTCCTCTTCCTCCTCCTCTTCCCAACAACCCGCTCCATTCTAGACTGATGATGTTCCCTAGTTGGGCCGTGAAACGTCTTCCAGAAAACAACCAAGCTCAGAGAGCACCAAAGACCTCATTGTTGTCCTCCTCCTCCTCTTCCTCCTCCTCCTCTTTCTCCTCCCCCTCCTCCTCCCAAACTCACTCCCTTCTAGACTGATGAGGTTCCCTAGTTGGGTCATGAAATGTCTACCAGAAAACAACCAAGCTCAGAGAGCACCAAGGACCCCACTGTTCTCCTCCTCCTCCTCCTCCTCCTCCTCCTCCTCCCCCCCCTCCTCCTCCTCCTCCTCCTCCTCCCAAACTCACTCCTTTCTAGACTGATGATGTTCCCTAGTTGGGTCATGTCAGCCCTCCAGCTACAGATATTCTCCTTTGTTGATATACTAAGAGCTTTTTATCCAATTCTACGGTTTCCGTTGTGAACTGCTCAGAGGCATGCAACTGAGATGGCGGGGGGCATAGAAATACGATAAATCAGTAACATGAAAAATAGAGAAAGGTCAATAAACATTTACACCTCCCTCTCCATGAATTTACAGGCTGGCGTTCGAACAAGACATTGGGGGAATCAAGACCTCATACCTTGGTGACTGTGAAGGTGAGCCCCACTCTCCAAGTCAAGTCTACCCGTTGTTTTTTTCCTGAGTCAGCCTGCTTCTGACTTTTGAGTTCAGTTCCCGGAAGATCTGAGATTTGACGGCCTAACCCTGATTAGGAAGCCAGACTGGCCTGACAAACAGGCCATTTTCAGCTAGAGAGTATAAAATCAGGGGTGTCAAACTGGATTTCTGGGAGGGCTGGATCGACACCGGAGTTGTCCTCCGTTGGCCGGCCGGGAGGGGCGGGAGGGTGTTGGAGATGGGATGGACAAAGGGGTAGGATTTAAATAATTTTAGCAACCGGTTCTCTGCCCTAATGACTGGGTGGGTGGGCATGGCCAGGGGGTGCGACAGGCAGGAGTCGGTCTCCTGCACCTCCCCCCGGGAGCAAAAAATGGGAGTGTGGAGCCCCTCCCCAAGCTTGGGCCTAGTGGGCCTCCCTGCAGCCTCCTGGGAGCAGAAATGGGCCACAAGGGGGCGCTG